CCGAACATGGCGGGTGGGAACCTCCGCCCACCAATCTAGGTCCCGCATAGACCCGCGGGACAGCCGCACTTTACCGGACCAACCGACCGGCTGCACAAGATCATCGTAGAAATTACGGAGAAACAGGGGGGCGGGGGTGAGGGCGAGCTTCACACTCTGAGCAAAACCACACAGCTTCACCAACTCACGCTTCTGAACCAGACGGTGCTTCTGAACCAGACGGTGATTCTTCTTGGCCGTAACCCGGAGCCCCACTGCTAACCGACGCAACTTGGCTAACTTGTCCGCAGGCACCTCAAACAGCCCCTCCGCAGTATTAACTGTAATGCCCAAATGGTAAACCGACTGCGAGGGCTCCCATTGGCACTTGGTGGGATGGCACGACAAACCCAGGAACTCGATGCTCTCTATGACCCACTGTGCACCCAACTGGGGATGCTCCTCGGACGCGAAAACAAACAAGAAATCGTCCAGGTATGGCAACACGCGCGCACCCAACCGCGCCGGCCGCGCACACCGGGCGGAAGGGAAGAACTGGTGTGGAGGCAAGGTGGGCGAGAGATGCCGCCGCCCCCCGCCAACCGCCGCCAGGGGGTCGCGCCAAAAACGCACGACATTACGCATGATCTTAGAAAACCAGTAAGGGCTATTGAGCCAGCCCATGGGCAGCGCATTCATCTGATACAAAACCCCACAGAAACGAAACACGAAGAAGTGACGATCAGCTGCATGAATGGGAATATGATAGAAAGCGTCAGCTAGATCGACCTTGACCATCCACAAGTTCTGAATCCCCATCCACCGCAGCGTACGGAGAGGCTCATAGCGACACTTATACGCCTTCTGCGTGATATCCATGCGCTTCAGATTAACAACAAAACGCCACGACCCACTGCCTGGCTTAGGCACGCAGAACGCGTTCACCACATGATTCACTGCTGCGGAAGCCTCCACATGGGAAATGGCACCAAGGGCAATCAACCACGGCTCCTCCTTCTCCAACCACCAACGGCTCTGCTCAATAGTGACCGGGAAACTGGGCAGATTAAACACAGGCGGCGGACGATCTCCCAGGAACTCAACCGGAACACCATGCTTCAACATGTGCAACGTGCGGGCATCGGCACCAATGGCTTTCCAAGCAGCCAACCGCGAGGTGACGCGTGCATGCAGGGGTGCAGCAGAATGCGATGACATGCTTTAGTGGGCCTGGCCCGAACCCGCCGGGGGCTGGGCGCTACCAGCTGCCACAACAGCACGAGCAGGTGGAAAACTGCCCCGGCCACCTCCACGACCCCGACGCAGACCATCCACCAGCGGACGCTCGGAAGGCGCGAAGTAATGCTGGTGCAGGGCAACGAGGCCATCACGGCCCCTACTGCTAAATTCCACCAAGCAATTGATACGGGCCGAAATAAGGTTATGCATCCAAGCAACATCATACAGCACGGTATCGGAGGCGCAGGTCAGGGCGACAACCCACTCTTGAGGTAAATTGTAACCGAAAAAGCGGCGAATCATAGTCAAACCGGACCGCACCATCTCCCAGACGCCAAGCAATGTAATCAGGATGCTCAACTCATAAACTAACGAGCCCGCACGATCAGGATGACCCCTCTGCGAGTGCTCTAACTCCTGCCGCTCAGGAATTGCCCGAAAATTATGCAAAACCAGATTATCCACCGTCATGGTTCCCGGCAAATTGTGCAGAACATAGTCGGGAAACGAAAACCGCGACCCGGCAGGAGAGCGCTGCACTTGGGTTTTGCTTCAGTAACTGATTGCGAACCGCAAACTAACTAGCACGCAGTCCTGGGGGCCCTGACTCGAAGTCAGCCCCACCCTGGAGTTAGTTGGTACCGCTTTCATGTACTTCCTCAAAGATACTGCTTCTCTAGTACTGTGATGTTTTATTTGTTATATTCAAGATAACTGAACTTAACTTGAAAGGCGCCACCACAGTTGCCGGTGCCATTAAAGGACACCCGTCCTGGGACACAGGCTCAGGCACAGAAATAGACTTATAGGGTTACATAAAACATAGCTATAAGCGTAAATAAACAAAGCCATGGAGTTTGTCCTGGACCCGAGCCATCTGCTTGCATCGCGAAAACCACGCGTCGCGCGCTGCAATGCCAGTAAAGTTTGCCATCGCCACAAAAAAGCAAAGCAAAACACACGTTGATAAAACAAACAACAACGGGGATAACGGCTCGCCGGTCAACACCCTCGGTCGCGGCTCAGTTTCTAAAAACACAAAGGGGCTAATGTCTCAACACAGCTACCAAACATACACACCGCTATATGACTACTCCACAATAACACAGTAGTCCTCCTCTTCTTCCAGCTTAACTGCCGCCATGCCAGCCGTCCCCGCGCCGATGCCCGTCTCCGCCGGCTGAGTGCTCCTCGCTGACCAGCTTCGCGAGGTGGCGGAGAAGTACGTCTCCACTGGGTGCATGTCCGCGGCAGAAGCAGTTGTTTCGCCACGCTTCAATCCTTCCAATGCCTTCATCAGAGCAGTCCAAAAGCGGAACGACAGGGCCGGCAGGCATCAGCAGGACGACGTCAGTGGGACCATCAGCACCCTGCATCTCTATGGAGACGCCGTTCTGTATAAGTATCAACAGCAGATAACAGCGCCGGCGCGAGGACTGCAGCAGCCGGAGGGGGGCCGGCAGCGATGGGGGTGTCACGGGTAGGGGCGGGAGCTACAACAGTTGCGGTGGCGGCCGCAGCAGCCTCGACGGCTGGGGTGGTGGCGGCAGGGCCCAGCGACACGGCATCAGCAGTGGCGGCGGCGGCGGGACTGAGAGCTACAGCAGGGGCGGCGGTGGCTACGTTAGCCTCGGGTGCTGGAGTGGTGATGGCGGGGCCGGGTAACACGGCAGCGGCGGTGGGGGCGGGGGGGCGGAGTGCTATGCCAGCAGCAGCAGCGGCGGCGACGGCAGGGGTGACTGCAGCAGCCGGAGGGGGGCCGGCAGCACGGGTCGTGTCACGGGTAGGGGCGGGAGCTACAACAGTTGCGGCGGCGGCCGCAGCAGCCTCGACGGCTGGGGTGGTGGCGGCAGGGCCCAGCGACACGGCATCAGCAGTGGCGGCGGCGGCGGGACTGAGAGCTACAGCAGGGGCGGCGGTGGCTACGTTAGCCTCGGGTGCTGGAGTGGTGATGGCGGGGCCGGGTAACACGGCAGCGGCGGTGGGGGCGGGGGGGCGGAGTGCTATGCCAGCAGCAGCAGCGGCGGCGACGGCAGGGGTGACTGCAGCAGCCGGAGGGGGGCCGGCAGCACGGGTCGTGCAGCAGGGCTTTCGGCTCACGCTCACGGCACCGTGGCTGGTGCAGCTGCTGAAATTGTACGTGGGCCGGATTGTACTCATGGATGCGACGTACGGCCTCACGAGCTACAACTACCCGGTCATTTCTTTGCTCGTGGTGGACCAGCACGACAATGGCATCCCCGTCGCGTTCGGGGTGATTCCAAGTGCAGAGGGTAAGGAAGATGTCCAGGGCTTCATCCAGGACGTTGAGGACCTCGCGGGCCGGTCATCGGCAGGGCCCCGGGCGGCTGGCGTGCCCCCGCTGGTGCCGCGCGCGCATACTCAGCCGGCGGAGACGGGCATCGGCGCGGGGACGGCTGGCATGGCGGCAGTTCAGCTGGAAGAAGAGGAGGATTACTGTGTTATTGTGGAGTAGTCATATAGCGGTGTGTATGTTTGGTAGCTGTGTTGAGACATTAGCCCCTTTGTGTTTTTAGAAACTGAGCCGTGTTGACCGGCGAGCCGTTATCCCCGTTGTTGTTTGTTTTAACAACGTGTGTTTTGCTTTGCTGTTTTGTGGCGATGGCAAGCTTTACTGGCATTGCAGCGCGCGACGCGTGGTTTTCGCGATGCAAGCAGATGGCTCGGGTCCAGGACAAACTCCATGGCTTTGTTTATTTCCGTTTACAGCTATGTTTTATGTATTCCTATAAATCTACTTCTGGGCCTGATGCTGTGTCCCGGGACGGTTGCGCTTTCATGGCACCGGCAACTGCGGTGGCGCCTTGCAAGTTCAGTTCAGTTATCTTGAATATAACAAATAAAACATCACAGTACTAGAGAAGCAGTATCTTTGAGGAAGTACATGAAAGCGGTACCAACTAACTCCAGGGTGGGGCTGACTTCGAGTCAGGGCCCTCCGGTCGTCTTGCTACTAGCACGATACCGTAATGATACGATTCTTTTGTGATACGTGTTTTGGGGAAGGCCCAAAATTAACGCTGAAATTATTTTGATGATATGCATTTTGGGGGACGGTCACGAGAAAAATCTACAGTTGTGATACACTTTTGGTGACGGCTCCAGGGCGTCCCGCGGGCGTGCTCACGCTTCGCGCGCTTACGCTTCAGCGTCTACTACCGCCAAGCTGCTATCAAAGTCCGAACAGCGCGGAAAGGCTCAATGATGGCCTTGCCGGCCTCAGCGTCCGCTTCAGCAAGCTTTGCAATCCTCTCATCGGCATGTGCCTTCTCGCGCTCAGTCCTTGCAGCCTCAACCTCCGGCGCCACTCGAACTCTGGTAATGCCTGCCCTGAGCTCAATGGGAGCATTGGTGTCGAGCTTGGGTAAAAGGCTAGTAAGCTTAGGGTGTATTTCCAGTGCGGATTAAGGCCAGGGATTAGCGTTAATCCCTGCGCTAATCCCGGCAGTGGAAATCCCACCGGGATTAAGCAGGATTAGCCGGGGATTAAGAAATTCCTCAGGACACCGTGTTCTCTAATCAGAAGATTAGCGGGAGCTAGCAAGAGATTAGGAAAGAACATAAACTGAACTTGATGCCCATGTATTTACCTGGCAACCTGTGACAAAAAAGTTATTACCTGGCTCGAGCCAGGTAGTAACTTTCCGTATCTGGATTAGCATTCACGGCGCCATGTCTGACGTTAATTTCTAGGTAGTTCCATATATATGATCTCAAATAAGCAATTCCTGTTTTGGGTTGCTCAAAAGGGTGATGAAGAGATGAACGGCGAGAAGAGTGCGCTTCCTGTTCATATCTAATACTGATTCAATTCCTAATGCCCAAACTAGTTCAGAACTTAACAATTTTAGCTTCAGAATCACATAGAAAGTATGCATCGCCCTTTGTACGGCCTTAATCCCAGCGCTAATCCCAGGCCTTAAGAATTGCCAGGGATTAGCCGGGGATTAGCCGGGAATAGCGGGACCTTAATCCCTGGCCTTAATCCGCACTGGAAATACACCCTTAAGCTGTTTAGGCGCCATTCTGAGCGCGCTTTCTGAGGGTGGGCCTGTAAGCTAAAGTTCTTGTCCGATCAACTTAGGGGTAAAAGACGAAGCTAACTACAAGCCAACAGCGTCTTCTGGAGGGCTTTTACTGTTGGGCGATACCGTTAACACGGTGTACGACACATTTGTGACAGCCAGTTTGGTGATGCCCATAAATTTTTGCCTAAGACCTTTTTCCACTGCTATGCATTTGGGGACGCCATACCAATTGCGTGTCACAAAAGAATCGTATCATTACGGTACAGAGCAGTCTCTTGTAGTAAGAACCATTGTACATGTTCTTGTACATACCGTGCCCTTCGCAATATGAATCTGTATGAACGGTATATAAGTCGCTTGTCTGTGCATCACAGCTGCTTTAATACCTGAAATAAACTCCTCTTACTGTTGGCACCGTCAAGACAGGTACATCTGCAACCAATGAGAACCAGCAGCGGAAACGCAGGCGTGTGGCGCATCCAAGGGCCAGGAGGACACGGCAAAACAAATGTCATGCGTGCGTTCATAAGCAAAGCTGCATCCATGGGCAAACGTGTGACTGTTTGTGCAACCACGGGAAAAGCTGCAAAATTCCTGGGCATGGGAGCAATGACAGCACATTTCGCGTTTGGCTTTCGAGGCAGCCAATGGATACCCCTGACCAACCGATACATGCTCATGTTCTTGGCCATGGCTGATGTCATTTGTCTACATGAAATCAGCATGGCCAAGGCCGCATTCCTGCAGCAGCTGCACCAACGCTGCTTGGATGCTTGCCCCAATCTACCAACCAACCTTCCTTTTGCGGGAAAACTAATACTGCTTGGTGGTGACAAGCACCAGCTGGCCGCCGTGTGTGACCATAAGTGTGACGAAGATGCATACACCAGCCATATAGGTGGGCCATGTGGAACATGTTTCAAGAAATTCATCTAGGAACATATCACCGACAAAATCCCAATAATCAGGCATGGATTGACGCACTCAATGTGATCAGGGTAGGGCCTCCAAGCGAGCCCATCCTGGCACTTTTGCAGTAAACGCTTCCCATAACTTCGTTGCACCCAAAAAATCATGGCACATTGCTGGAACAAATGAAGAAATCAACAAGTATAACCAAGATATGGCACACACCCACTTTCAACAACAACTGCAGCATATTACAGCTTATCTGTACAAAGCAATGCAAGACCAAGGCGTGCTCTTAGATCACCTTTACCTCGCTCCCGGGATGACGGTCATGGTTACCAAGAACCTGTCGGCCCCAAAAATCGAAAACGGTGCTTTAGCTATCGTGCAAGACATCACCGAATCCATGCTGTCACTCCAGCTTTTGGACTCCCAAACCATAATCCGCCTGCCAAGGATATGCGAGGTGAAATACAAGAATGGTGCCAAGCTTGAACACAAAATGTTCCCGGTCGTGCCTGCTTTTGCAAGAACTGTACACAAGGTGCAGGGCGAAACCATAACGGATCCCGTCATTATTGACTGTACAAAAATGAACCGACTAGGGCAAGCATATGTAGCACTGTCGCGAGTTGTGGATATTGAGCAGCTGCACATCCTCCCCATCGACATCCAATTGACACCAAACATGTTCAAGGCACATGTACCCCCTTAAGCACCATGATTCAATTTACTGTTAGGCTGCTTACGTTGTTCCTGCTACTGTCTTACTGCCTGTCACAGTCTTTGCATTACTATGACCTTAGACACCTATCCCACGTCCCACCTGCAATGTCATCAACCGTCACAACTTTAACAGCAGCTGCAAGTCATCAGTCCCAGGCTCAAGCCATGGGTTTATCCGTCCAGCAGTACGAAGGCCTTGGTTTTCACACTCCGCCCACCACCATAACAACACGCGCCACACGACGCCCCGACGAACGAACCCCTAAACAAGAAGCATTCCTTAATGATATGTCAATCATGCCATGTGATTGGCCTACCACAATCGGAGAATGCTCAAGACTCCTAAGCAGCAGTACAGCAGACTATGAAGACTTCAAGAAAAAATACAATGAAAAACCTGCATGAGGCAGGCAACGTGCAGCTCTCCACTCACAAGGATTATCTATGGACGAAATTGACAAGCTTACTAAAAGCCAGGCCAGCAAGCTCATGGACAGCCATGCGTCAGGAGAACAGGCCACAGCAGCACAGCTTGCTCGGTTGCAAAGGCTCAACGTACAGCTACCGCAGCAACCACTATCCAAGAGGGATGCGTCGGCACTCATTACACAAAACTCCGCCAAAGCACAGGCTGCAACGCCATCACAGAAGGACCTACTCAAGAAACTCACGAATCAAGCAGATCAACGAATCACAGACGAGCAGCTGGACGTCATGACGCTGGCGCAACACTGATGCATGATGTGCATTTCACATACGAGGACTTCGTGAAGTTATGGTGCATACCTGCATATGCATGCACAGCAGTCAAGACATGAATGCACTGCGAGTCTGGCCAGCTCAGCAGGCATGCAATCTTGAGTGAAGTGGTGCACGATTGCCTATTACATTGCAGGATTGGCCAACCTACAATGCAAAAGACAATCCTTCTTTGTGCTCCAGGTGTGTCTTCATTCTAACGGAGCCATCTCGTCGTGTTATAAACGTTGTTGCATGGTAAATGACGGCGTCAGGCTGCTACGCCGCTGCAATGCTAATCGCAAGTTACACTGAATTAGTACCTATGAACTACGCGTGAATTTAATGATTCTTTGCTGGACGAAGGTGGGCTAGTTGCGGTAGGTTGGGGTTGTGGAACTGTTTAGCTACAGGTCAGAGCTTCACACTGGTCCCTGTTCTCATGGCCTTTATGTCTTGCATTGATGAAATGGATCAGTTTTTGTTGGTGTTCTTCGCATGGTCTGTTCGCCAGCCAGCCTGCACGTGTTATGTAGGGCATATCTAGGGCGGGGGGACCCGGAATGTACGACCGTGTGACCGGCGAGGGACCTAATTTATGTCGCCACACAAAGGCTTCGTCTTCAGTCCCACGCCCTCTGGTCTATTTGCTGTAGCTCAACGTTGATGTTAGTCTGCTTCCGTTTAGGTCCGCGTTCATGACTTGTCCTTGCTGGTCTTCTTATAGGGGGAGGTCCATTTCCCTGACGGTCTCCTTTGACCTGTGAACCTCGCATTACCTGTAACAGGAAATGACATGTGACTTTCGACAACAACTCAAGCGTCTGCTGCAGCACACTTGCATGAATATGCTGGTGCGACCATCCGTCAGTGACAATACCACCAAGCATACGCACCCGGGCAAAATGTCATCATCCCGCAAAATAAACCAAAACATAACTTCTACGCCGCCAGGACGCTGTGCGTCCAAATTGGACGGACGGCACACACTTAATAGCCAGCCGAAATGTACGTAACAAATACTTTATAGCCAGTTCACATGCTACGTTACGTTAAGACTTTTAGAGTAGTCGGTTCGGACATGGTAACGGTACGTTACCGGTAAAGTGGACGAAAAGTCTAAAGTGACCGGGGAGGGGGGGGGGTGAATTTCGACCCCTCGTACCGTTACCTGAATTGCGTCGCCAATTTCGCGAGTTATAAGAAACAGCCAAGCCCAATCGCTTATAAAGACCACATATTTGACAAATTGTGCGCGCTTTGCACTCCGACCGAATTTCTAGTCACACCGCTGCAGTTTATTTTGGAAAATGAACAAGGACAACGCCGCTCGTGTTGCTCGCCCGCGCACGACCGCTTACATAGCCAATATGTAACCCATTGTAGTATCGGGGCTGAAGCCATCCGCGAAATGGCAAGTTGGCCGCACTTCCGGCGGCATGGGCCGCGCCGCGTCGGCCCACACGCTCAAGCACTGCCATTGAGAATTGCACATATCCTCAAGGTTGTCAAAAATTTCATCCATAGCGGCCGTTAGGCCAAACGCCCTCGCGGCTCGCGCGGGATGCAGTGCCATTGCAGTAGGCAGGGCTGCCAATAACCCGTCAATTATATATTGCGATTCTAAGGGGATGTGCTGAAGTTTTGGCCATTGAAAGACATAAAATGGAGATGGTTTACACAGCTCGCGCCAACGAACACAACGTCGTCGCAATGTCCCATGTGAATTGGGTGACTTTTTCAGGCCCACTTTTCCAAAAATGTTTTCGCAACGTAACGCACCATGTGAACGTAACGTACCAGCGAATATTGAAACGTGGCATTAACATCACACACCGGAAGCACGTCCAACGAATCGTTGTATAGCATGTGCAAAAGTCCTTCTATGTCTGTGCGACGTAAAGCAAACTATTAAAAAATAATACGGAAGTAGCAGGCGGGGGCCCATAACCACTTACCCTGCCTTTATTTGCCCCGCCCTTACTACCTTCGCAAGTCATTGTATTTGCCCCGCCCTTACTACCTTCGCAAGTCAATGCCCCCGCCTTTCTTACGTTCGCTAGTCATTTTCATTGTCGTACAAGCACCCGTAGGGAGAAACTCGCTAGTCATTTTCATCCGTGTCGTACAGGCACCCCTAGGGAGAGTCTCGCTAGTCATTTTCGAACTGCAAATCCGTAATCTCTGTCGTAAAAGGCACTTGTTGGAGATTCTCCCTAGTCATTTTCGCGCGACAAGTCATGCTGGTCATCTCATAGGGTGAGGTCCATTTCCTTAACGGTCTTCTTTGACCTGTGAACTTCGCATTACCTGTAACAGTAAATGACATGTGACTTTCAACAACAACTCCAGCGTCTGTAACACACTCGAACAAATAAGCTGGTGCGACCATCCACACAAACTGTGCCGTAAGTGACAATACCACCAATCATACTCACCCGGGAAAATGTAAACATACCGCAAAATAAACCAAAACATAACTTCTACGCCGCCAGCATGCTGTGCGTCCAAATTGGACGAACGGCACACTTGATAGCCAGCCGAAATGTACGTAACAAATACTTTAACAGCGATTATTGAAACGTTGCATTAATATCACACACCGGAATCACGTCCAACGAATCGTTGAATAGCATGTGCGAAAATCCTACTATGTGTACGCGACGTAAAGCAACCTTTTAAAAAATAATACGGAAGTAGCAGGCGGGGGCCCATAACCACTTACCCTGCCTTTTTTTCATCCCTTCCGTACAAGCACCCCGAGGGAGAGTCTCGCTAGTCATTTTCATCCGTGTCGTACAAGCACCCCTAGAAAGAATTTCGCTAGTCATTTTCGAGCTGCAAATCCGTGATCTCTGCCGTAAAAAAGCACTTGTCGGAGATTCTCCCTAGTCATTTTCGCGCGCTTCGGTATTAGTCGTACGAGTTCACCGAGCTTATTACTACGCCTTCTACCGGGATTGCCAATCAACACAGTTCATATTAGGCATTCTGCATTCATAAACAAAGTCTTATCGTGCTGTGCAATCAATTTATTATCTCTTGGTAGTGCTACTATGTCCAGTTCCACAGCTTCCTTAGCAACACATTACGCTGGGTTGATTATCATTCTTGCTGTCGGTGAGATCGCTTTATACTCCGCCTACGTTCTCGTCTGTGGACCTCGTTCACCATGCCATACAATCCTGCATGCGAACACCCTATATGACATTCATTTATGTAGAACAATTTATGTCTAGAAATCTAATCAAATGCTCGTGAAAGTCTGTTCATACAGTTCAAGGAGCTCTGGCAGCAAACACGTAGCAGCATAAGCCGGTGCAACATACTCGGTTGCTCGTCCGAGAACGGCGAAAGAAACCATTATCATTTGCAGCGCTGAGCACGGCTGTCCTCGTTCTTGGGTTGCTACTATTATTGATGATAATACCTGGTGAGTTATCAAATGACTGCCGTGTTCTCATTGTATCATACGTCACAGGCCTCACGGGGCCGGAATCCCGGAATTTGACCTCATGAATTCCCAATCAAATCCGGGTCAAATCCCATCGGGATTTGAGGATTTGACCCCCAAAACAATAAGCAATATAATGGTCATGCAAGGATTTCCTCGGGCTTGGCATTTGACACATTTGAGGATTTGAACCCCCCAAAACAATTATCATCATGCAACATGGCTATGCAAATAATTCCATGCGCAGCCGTTACAATATATATTGCATATCTTCGAGGGGCATGTTATGCTCGTGCCAGTCAGTCCTCGCGCCACATGCCTTCAAACATTTAGTTAGACTTTTAGTATTAGAGTTATTCCTCCAAAGCCGGCGCTCACCGCAAAGAGCGATGTCAGACAGCGGCGATGGACGGGCTAACAAACGCCCAAAGGCTCAACCAGGTACCCTTGATGAACTGAACCGGCACGTGCAACAGTTAGGCAAGAAAACGAATACAAACTGTACTTTTTCTTCATATGGGATAACCATCTCACTCGCAAGGGTCGCGGACAGCATCCCCGGGATTGAGAGGCAGCTAGGCGTCAAAAGGTCGCTTTACCCGTTTTACCCGTTGAATGGTCGCTTTACCCGGTTGGTGATCGTACGAGTGCCCCGCCTATCGTTCTGCAAGTTGTTCCACACGTGCTAAAACTAGCATACGGGAAGCA